TGTACATTTGTTGCCATCATCATTCTCAAAACATTTGCCTTCTACTTGAGCCCTTAACATTTTCCTCCTCCCTCCTCATTCCCCCCTCCCTCATGAATCCTTCACAAGTCATAAATTATTATTTTGTCATATGTTACACTGTCCGATGTCCATCCCCCAGGGAGTTGGCTATACGTAGATTCTTGTCATCACTTCCCCCTTTCTACCCCCACATATCCTCCACTCTCCAAGCATTGCCACTCTCACCATTTCTTCTGTTATACGGCTTCAAATTTATTTTAAATGACTACAGCTTACTCCATTAAACTCCATAATTTAGTCAGTTTGCCACCCTTAGGGTATTCACATAAAGAGTAAGTAATAATATAAATTTATGGAATACACGTGTGTTTACCTTTTATTGGTGTATCTGTTTTAATAGAAACATTTTGTTTAGCTTATCAGAAGTGGGATCATTAATTGGGTCTATAAATTTGTCCATATCTAAACTTTTGAAAATACTGGCCTGAAAATATAAAATTGATTCTATGAGTCGGGACTGCCTTGTTGGCAGTGAGCATCAGAGTAAGGAGACATCAGTACATGAAAGTACCGGGTTTGTCTTCTTCTTGACTACCAGGAATTACTTTGAAATTCCTAAATTTGGATACCAATTAGGCTGAGCATTTTTATTTGTGACATGCCTATTTTACTGTTTGTGAGGGTATGGTTATATCCTTGGACTAGACTTTTTGTGTTTGTGTGCCTTTCTTTTTTCCGGTTTACATTTTTGAGTCAAACAGTTTTAAGAGTTAAAATATTAGGGGCTTTTTTTCAGCCTATTTTTGTGATAAAAGCTTTTCCTTTCTTGATTTATTTAATCTTGAATACGTCCTTTCACATTTTCATGTTATGAGATTACACATCTATATTACATGTTTTCAAAGAAAGGGCATAGACTGGAGAGACAAATCAAATATGGAAAGAGCTATTTACAAATTATATATATCACAGAGCTCAATTTCAAAAAATATACAAAAACCAAATAGGACTTCATAAAAGATATTCAGATGTCTAAAACCTTCTGACATGATATGTTCTGAAAGAATGCAAACTAATTGCGCACAGCCCACATAAAGCTGTGATAAAACCAAAAGATGTTACTGATCGTGAAGATAGGACTTTGATAACATTTTGTACTGTTATGCTTAAAGTTGCCATGAGGTGGGACGGAGACTCCATAGCAACTAAACGGCACTATGTAAGATTTGAAAAATGTGTGTTTCACATTTAAATTATCATTTAATTTTCAAGCTACATTCTGAATATAGGTACTCTATTTGTTAGTGCGCCAATGTAGATATTACTGTACTACAGTAGGAGGGAAGATAGCCTGCGTGGGGTAGGAAGTTGTTAATGCAGGTTATTTGTCTATTGAAAGGAGCCCTGGTGGCACTGTGGATTAGGTTTTGGGTTGCTAACCACAAGATCAGCAACTCAACTCCACCAGCCAATCCTTGAGAGAAAGATGAGGCAGTCTGTTCCTATAAATAATTAGAGTCTTAGGAACCCTGTTGAGGGTCATAATGAGTTTGTGTTGATTCAGTGACGATGGATTTTGTTGACTGAAAGTGATGCTAATTTTTACTATTCGGTTGCTCATATTCTCATAAAAATCCTTCATTAGATATCAGTAATTGCTTTATTTTAAATTCTTCGGCAGGTTAAAGGACTACCTTGAGATTTAGTGACTCCATCAAGGTGTACATTTATAAGAATGGGAAGAAACAGGAAAGGGACCCAGAAATTCAAGTATGAAAATCCATGTCTCTCTCTCTCTCTCTC